TACTTTGCAAAATACTTTTAAATGTTGAAAATGAGAAATAATTTTTTTAATGATCATTAAGAGCATCACAATATTTTTATTGTACAATAGCATATGTCTTATTTATTTTGTAGTGGAATATTTCGGATTATTTTTTCCAAAGAGGTGAAATAATTGAAAAGGAGCTAAACAAAGAAGAAGCAGTGTTGCAGAAACAAGCAGAAGAAAAAGGGGTGATGCTGAATAGACCTTTTCATCCTGCACCACCATTTGACTGTCTTTGGTTATGCCTATATGCCAAACTTGGAGAACTGTGTGTGGATCCCCGACCTGCAGTTAGAAAGAGTGCTGGGCAGACATTGTTTTCTACTATTGGTGCTCATGGAACTTTATTGCAACATTCAACGTGGCACACAGTAATATGGAAGGTATGATGTGTAAGCTTCCACTGAAGGTTTTTTTAAAAATTGCATTCATGTTTTGGTAACCATTGACATGCTATTTTAATATCAGTTAAATAGCCTATTAAGACTTTTTAAAGATAAGATACGGTATCAGAAGTTTGATATTGTCTTTTGGGTTTTGGGTTTTTTTCATGCTTTCTTTTCTCTGGCCCTTAAAGATTCTTATGAAATGTAGTTTTTATATCTTGACCATTTCTTTCTTACTCAGGAGTTGTATAAAAAGGCTGCTCCCTTCCTACGAAGATGAATGACTCCTTTGTGCAAAAATACGGTGATGTTTGAGGGTCATGCAATTGGATTGATCTGATATTAGATCGAGCTTTACTTTGCACTCTGTTTTGGTGCTGTTATTTGAGATGATCTGTCAAATGCCCTGTTCTAGATCACAGTCATGTTGGTTGTGCCTTATGGAAAAAGTTAGGCTGTAGTTGAGTGTTGCCTGTTGTATGTGTGAGACATCTGAGATCCATTGGTTTTAGCCTTCTGTTTGTGTTAACACTGTTCTCAGTGTTTTTGATCCCTTCTCAGGTGAACATCAGTTGGCTAATTCTTACTCTTAGCTGTTGCAGAGACTGCAGAGAATAAAGGAATTCTCAAGGTGACAGAGTGACAGAAAGGAAAAAATTTTTTTTTTTGTTGTTTTACCATGAATACAACTATGTTATTTGAAAAGTTGCTTTTTTCCTCTTCTTCTGACTGTTACAGGTTTTATTTCACCTGTTGGATAGAGTTCGAGAATCTTCTACCACAGCTGACAAAGAGAAGATTGAATCAGGAGGAGGCAACATTCTCATCCATCATTCAAGGGATACAGCTGAGAAACAGTGGGCTGAGACATGGGTATTAACACTGGCTGGAGTTGCAAGAATATTTAACACCAGGAGATACTTACTGCAGCCTTTAGGTAAAATTTATAGTTTAAAGTTATTGAAAGATACAGTAATAAACTTTCTGCTTTTCTATATTTTTTCAGTTAAAGTATTGGGCAAGAATCTTAGCTTAAAAGTGTGTTCTGTTGTCTCTTACCTCAAATGTGATGAAAATTATGGAGTTTTTAATTCATGCTCCTTAGAGCCAAAAATTCTAAGTATCATTTTCATCTTCCGTATCACAGTCCTTGAGATTAAATCTCACTAGTCACAATTCTGGGTGCCAAATAGCTTTAATTTATAGTAGCCTGATAACAATAATACTTTTTCTGTTCTTTTGGTTGTCAGAACATATTTTTCCTCTTGCTTTTCTAAGGTTATGCAACTCTTGCCTAGAACTCTTCTGTGGCATCAGTGTGTCAAGTTTAACAGTGCTCTTACAATGTAAAGAGAACTCAGTTGTAAAGTCAGTGAAGTATATAGCTTAGAAAAGAAGAAAGGGATTTTTTTTAATGGAAAGATTGGACTTAGTATGACGTGAAAGATGTTGAGATTACCCACCGTTTCAAGTGATTCTTTTTTCTCCCCTGATGATACTCCTCCACTGTTTGTCTTGTACAGAGATGTCAGTTTGAGTTGCTTTACTGTTGTCCCTAATGCAGCTAACTGAAGTGAATTCCCCTTTTCATCTCCTTAAGATCTTACTTTTCCCATTTTGAAGTTTTTTATTTTTCCTCTATAACTCCTTGGTATCTTTCTTTCTTTCTCTTCCTTTTTCTCAGGCTCTGATTTTTCCTTATTTCTTTTTTGCTTTCTCCTTATAGAAATTAAACATTAGGTCATTTACCAAGCTGTTGTAAAATACAAAATATGACTACACACAATTGAACAATGTAAATATATTGAACTAGATAATGTAATTCAGCATTCATGCCTGTTTTGTACAGGAAAAAATTGTTTTGTTTCAGTTTAGGCTTCTAAACAGATATATTCTGATACAATTTCAAAACAGCTTTCTTTTCTAGTTTGGTTAACTAGAATTACTTAAATACGCTACTTCCAAAATAAAAATGTGATATAAAGAATGTATAGTTTGCAAAGAAAATTCCCCATTACATTAATATACTGTCACTGTCCAATAGTATGCAATTAATATATAAAACTAGAAATAAGTTGTGTTTTATTTCATTTTGGTTATTTGTGGTACAGATATCAACATATTAATAGCTATCAAGAGTATTGGTTGTTTGCAGAAACGTAGTAGATTTTAAACTATACTAAACTTGAATTAAAACTGAATAAAAAATTAAAACATTACAGGGCTATTTTAATTATTCAAGCCCAGTAATTAGTAACATAGAAAATTGAAGGTTAATGCTAAATTTAATGAAAAACTCAAACTCCTAAAATGAAATCTTTCTCCACAGTACAATTATCAGAGCATTTTAAAATCAATTCTTTATACATGCATGTATAGATTATATATACAGATTTGACCTTTAGACTATAGATTTGACCCTTAATTCCCGGTGTGTGCTTAACACATTTTGAAATCAACAGGCATCTGGTATGTTTAAGAACAATCTGTTTCACTATCCTGAATAAAGAAACTTATTTTTCTGGTATGGGATGTGGTGTGTGATTTTTTTCGCTAGTAAATTCCACATAAACATTGATAGATTGTTTCATTCTTCATATTTGTGTGTTTCTCTGTCACATTCATTCCTTCTGGTTACTATCTGAACTGATATATTCTGAAAGTCATTCAAGCCATCGCCTAACCTCATGAAATTTCTCTGTATTAGAGTAACAAGTACATGAACTGCCCTTTAGAGACAGGGTGGGTGGGAAGGGGAATAGGAAGCCAGTTCCGAGTTGATTTTTTTCTCTTTTTTTTTTTTTTTTAAATAGGAGACTTTTCCCAAGCCTGGGATGTTCTTCTTGATCACATCCAATCAGCAGCACTCAGCAAAAATAATGAAGTTTCCTTGGCTGCTCTGAAAAGCTTCCAGGAGATCTTACAAATTGTTTCTCCTGTCCGAGACTCAGAGAAGCCTGACACACCACCTGCTATCAATGTTTCTGTACCTGTGGTGGTAGGGACAACAACTGCCACTAGTCTTGGCAGATCATTCATGAGAACTGACTCCATAGGAGAAAGAATAGGAAGATACAATGGATCTGAACCACCTGTAATAACAGATGAGATTGAAGATTTGAATCTTTGGTGGGCAGCCTGGAACAGCTGGTATAGGATTGGTTCAGAAAGTACAAGGCCTCCAATTACTTGTGATAAATTGACTTTCATTCCCAGCCAGCCTTTTCTTACAGCTTTAATTCAAATATTCCCAGCTCTTTACCAACACATCAAAACTGGTTTCAGCATGGATGATCTCCAAAAGCTGGGTGTCATTTTGCACGGTGCTGTTTCAGTTCCAATCAGTTCTGATGCTTCCCCTTTCATCCTTCCATCTTACACTGAAGCAGTTTTGACAAGTTTACAGGAAGCAGTGCTTACAGCTTTAGATGTTTTGCAAAAGGTAATAATGTGACTTCAAATGCGTGGTGAAAGGTAAACTACACAGTGTCTCAATTCTTCTTCTCAAAACTATAGCATGGTGACTTAAACATGAATTTTTAAATTATTTGTAATTGCACAGTGTACTGTATTAGAACAATCAGATCTCCATTCCTGGTGCAACCCAGGTGCTCTGCATTGAAAGGAATGGTGTAATCTTTATGAAATGCACTTTTGCGTGATTGTAGAAATACCTTAAGTGTGATGCTGTGTTTGCAGCCATTTACTTGTCTATCTAATAGTACAGTATTGTACTGTTATGAGGCTCTGTACACAGAACTGGGGGAATAGTTCCCCAAACAGTATTCCTTATGTTGCCCAGGTGCTGCCATAAACAACGTCTAGAATAGTGATCGTGAGAACTTTGAGTTCATGCAAAACAAAATATAAAAAGGTATGTGACAGAGCACCTACCTTCTTGCCTCTTGTTAATCAGTTGTTTAAGGAAAATGCCGCATCTCTGCTGAAGAAATTCTTACTATAGAACTCATCCTCAAAGTGCACGTTTCATGCAAGTGAATCTGTAAACAACAAATTAGGGTGCGCTTTTTCTGGATAGTTAAGAAAAGAGGTATTGCTTCTTTCTGGAGTTGTGAAACATCATCTTGCAAAATACACTGTTCATTCAGAAAACTTATTTATTCAAAAGAAGCAAAGTTGATAATGAATGAGATCATGCATTTATATTAAGCACTGCTTTAGAAAAAAACCAAAACCCCAAACCTCCCAAAAAACCTACTTGGGAAATGCCAGAAGTAAAACTACCCATGTGACCTGACTTCATTCCCTTTGGGCTTTCATGTTACAACTGCTTTGCTTAACTATGTGGTCATATCTTCTCCCCGCCAGGCAGGATCCGGCCTCATTTAGGTGACAGAACACATGGTGCCTACTGAATGATCAGCAGTTCAGCATCTTGTCTTGGTTTCTTTTTGCTTAGTGTGGGTTAACTTACCTCATACATAAACCCCACAAGCAAGGCAGAATCGTTATCTTGCAGTCATTCTTTTAGTGTATGAGCTTAGTAGATATTCATTAATGTATTTTGAGAACAGAGGTATAAGATTAGAAGCTGGTATTAAATCTCAGTTTTGTATGTGGGGATATAAATAACATGAAGTTTTAACACCAATCATATCCACTAAATTTTCATCCTTTTCCAGTCAGGCTTGGCCCTTTTGTAGCCTTCCCTTGCCAGCAGCTCAGCCCTGCCCAAGTCCTGTTTTCCCCACTAATCACTCCATATATTCATCTCAGATTTTTCTGTTTCTTTGCCTGTCTCCTTATCCAGATGTTCTTAGCTCCCAAAGTCTGCAGGCATCAGCACTTTTTAAAGAAGGAGTTACCAGAGTTTTTAATGTAAGGAAAAACTGCACATTTTTTTATACGCTTGTTCTTGTCAAGATTTTAAACTGATTTAGTTGAATTTTTCTTAAACAATAACAAAAGCAATAACTCCCTATGAGAAACAGAGACATCACCCCTTCCCCTCTCCTGGTCGAAATGGTTAGTGTGGCAGTTACCAGCCTTTGCAAATACAGACTTACATAGGAAGTCTTAGGTACCTCAATTTATACAGTACCTCCCACGCCATCTATAGTTATATTACTAACAGAACAGCACTAAAATCACTAAAAAAATAAGTTAAAGTATATTTGGACATAGTAAGTTCTGTGAAGTCACATGATTGCTCCTCTTGGCTATATAGCACAGTGCAATTCACATGATAAGGCAGCCAGCCAGTGCTGATGTGGAGCAAAGGCCATCTGTCAGATGGTTTCAGTGGAGGCCACAGTATCTTCTTCCTCTGTTGAAATGAATTAATACTCTCAGGAGCACACACAGAAGCTAGTGGAACAGTTAAAGAAGAGTATGTAAATACTCGCCACCTTTTTTTAAACAGAATGTTTCTTATATGTTTGCATTGGGGGATCAGATGAAGTCTTGTTCTTTGCTGATACAGGAAGATTTGGGTCAGTTCTGATTTTCTAAGTAGTTCTGGAACAACCTTGTAATTGGAATAGCATGAAAAAACCCTGACATCTTTAAGACTGAGCCTCTAGTTTAATAAAGAGATTTTATGTGATTGCACTAGCAAAGGCCATTGCAGCTCAAGAACATAGGACTGGAAGGGAACCTTGGTTCTCCTTTCAGACTTCCGTGTGTTGAGCCCATTTTACACCCTTTGTTTTGTTCTTAGGTTTAGGTTTTTTTCTTATTCCTCATTAGAACTTGTTTGCTAGTCTTTCACTGCTGTAGTGTAAGTGCCTGCTTCATCACTGTAGCTCAGCTAAAGTCTGTACTCAAGCCCAAATTCTTTGTTTTCACCGCCTCCCTACGTTGGACTCTGGGTCAACTCTACAGTGAGCCAGTTGGCTCATCAGACAGAGGAACACAGATACATACTTGGGGATCAGATACATTTGAATTCTGCCTCTGCAGGCGGTATGGATGCAAACCTCTTGAGCTATGAGTATGGTATACTGATGGCTATATCTACATACACTGGTGGAGATGGTAGAGAATTAGCTACGGAGAGCTGTAAAGAAAACAGCAGTCCATGACAATAGTTGCACTGGGAGTTGTTAGATAAATCTGAATTATTAAAAAATGTGAAGGTTAGTACCAGAATGCTTTAAAGCATAAACTTCTGAAACTAAAGTACTGTGTCAATTTTTACAACAACGATTGGCAGAGTATTTTATTTTAGGGCTTGTTTGTGTTTTGTGGTTGCCTGACCATTACTTTTTGATTTATACATGTGTCTTTACTTAAGTATGTAAATAAGTGCACTTAATGAAGTAAGTACTACTCTGTTTTATAAGCAGCTCTTAAAAGATACTTTCAACATCCTTCATCAAACACTTTGCTAGGCTGTTTTTCAGTTCTTCATACACTTAGATAAAAGTTACCTGCTGTCAGTCAGAAGCATAAACCTCTTTGAAAAGCAGTTCTAGTTAGATGAATTTTCAAAACTAAGTGACCTGATCCTCCTTTTTTTTAATACTACATGGATAATTTTTAGGGTTGAAAATACCCCTGTAGACTGGATAGAAAATGCTTCTATATGTAAAATAAAAATTTTACAAGAGTTTTATAAAATCTGAAGAATAAGCAGCTACTCATGCACAAACTTCAAATAGGAAGTCATTATTGCTTTTGTTCACCAGCACAGAAAAAGTAGAGTCTGAAATTATTTTCCACTGATCCTGAAATGAATAATAATAACAATAAAAATCTAACAATGTGGAGTGAATGGCAAACATATTTTGAAGTTTTGCCATTACAGATGTTAAGATAGTCTTCGGTTGGTAATACAGGTTGCATCTGTGCAAGTAAGTTGCATCTATACAAAAGTTACCCAGGGTTTGTGGATGGTC